GAGGTTTTCTTATATGTGTTGATGGAATGTAGTTGGAGAATATATTTCTTGAAATGCAAGAAAAATTACAGAAAAGCAGTAGCACACTTGCTGAGACGGGAAGGAAGAGGTTCGATGAAAGTGATCACCTACACTTATTACTTTCCCCGGTGGACGCAGGCGGAATTGAACCGGAACTTGAAAGTTTATTTTATGCCTAAGAAAACATCTCGTAACAAAAGAAAGCACAAAAAACCCAAAGGCCTGTAAATACAGTGCCACCACGCGGAAAAGAGAAAAGAATATAGAAGAAAAAAAATAAAACAAAAAACAACACACTTATATGCATAAGTGCGCGTGTAATGCTCATTTGAAAGAAGTAATTATTTGACAAGATACAACAGTATGTGGTATAGGGAATTTCAGTTAACAGCAGTGCGGTAGAAAAAAGAAGAAGCTACATGTCGTTTCGATACTGTCGGTGTATCAAACTGCATACTATTCTGACGGTTACTATTCAAACGGCCTGATCTTTTGGCTGCTAATGGTTTGATAAAAGGAGAATCGAAAACCGCGAGAGGTGAGAGAGAATTTTTAACTTTGAAAAAATATAATAACGAAAAATATTTCCTTCGTGCAGATAAATTTGGCAGCTTTAGTTTGGTGATCAAAGAGGTTATCGAACCATCAAATTTTTTAGAGATCATACGAGCCGCTAATTTAGTAATTTGATCTAAATCTTCTTTATACCACTTACTATCGTAAACTACACTAGCGTAATCTAATTCGCGATTAGAAGAAATGAAATGAAATATCTTCACAAGATCATCAGCAAAAGAGTCGAGTAGCATGTACTAATACCTGTCAAAAAGAGTTTTCTGAGCAAAAGTTGATGGTAAACCGATCGGAAGCTTCAGAGAAATTAATGGTAATTTTGGCGAACTTTTTGTCTATCAGCTGTTAAAATAACACGTTGTAAGACTTTTAAACCTTGTTTCAATCCTGTAATTATAAATCGGCACTTTGTGTTGTTCTGTTCTGTATTTTGAACACGCTTTCTTTTGCTTGTTTTTTTATTCGTTGGTGAACACCTATTTACAACTTAATTGCTTGTATTTCGTCTTTTGTTAGTCTCTTTATTTACATGAGTATTTATAACAAAAATGAGATAATTACTTTGTATATGGAGATGTGTTTTTCTGTATTGGTTCTCTCGAAAGAACGAGAGTCAATTTTGAGCGCAATCTGTTCCCACTGTTTTTAAATTACTTTCAACAGGAGTTTTGTTGAAAGTAATTTAAAAACAGTGGGAGCAGATTTCGCTCAAAACTGACCCCTTCCTTTTGTCTAACACACGCACACACATGTGTGTTATATGTATCTATACATAATTATCTTCTTACACGCAAGTAACATTCATCTTCGATTCATGGGTCGTTGAGTGACGCTTTTGTTCGGCTGTTCTCATTGTTTCATGTCGTCAGACTGCATACCGCGACGGAGAAAAGAGATTACGCATATGAGAACTTTGTAAGCATTGTATTTCAAAATATTAGATTAATTTATACTCTGATTTTGTCGATTCATTTTTTAGACCTATCACTCAAATTAGACCACCGCCTCGTACTATGAGGTATTTTTCTCTCCGCGCTCTATTTAGATTAACGTCTGACGATCGTTGTCGTTGCCCTAGTCGCTCAGTTGCTAAAGCAGAACCACACTCGTTGCTCTCTCGTGCAGATATATTTGACACCACAAAACAAGCTGAGATCTTCTGTTCATTCCATAATTCCGTAATTATGAATTTTTCTCGCTAGTACGTGTAACCCTAACAGTTTTACTATATTTTGTCCTATACATACTCTTTTTTTGTGTGAGATTCTGAAAAAAGTAATAATGAAAAAGTAAGAGAAAAAAATTGAAAATTTCAGCATAAGTAGGAAATGTGGGAAAAAAAGAAAAATGTTTGAAAACAACAAGCTTTCTGGCAAAAACACTGGTGCGACTATATTTGTACAGCCTTACCTACCAACATTCTTGCCTATTCTTAACAAGAAAGTAAGACTATTTTCCCTACGATCCTCTTTATAAAATAAACTTCAAACTTCTATTTCCTTCGGAGAACGGACGTGCTCTCGGAAGTTTTCACAAAATGAAAAGTTGAAGTTTGTATCCAAAATCATACGCAGTTTTGCTGAAATTTTGATCTACTTCTCACCTTACGGATGAACGAACAAAATCTCTCATCCTACCAGATTCACTTATACTGTGTCTTTTTGCCAGAAAAATTAATAGTTTATTTGAGCTCGGTAGACGAAACTGAGACGAATGGCACACGTGAAACTCATATTTAAAACAAAAATATCTTGAATTGAATGTTATTTTTTCTCATATTGAAAAATGAATGAACGTGTTTTGACAAAGTTTCACCTAAGTTTTTCCTTGTCATGATGAGAACATATACTTCACAAATATCAAACCTAGTGGTTAAATGTAGATAGAACCACAATATTTTATGGACCGGTGAGCAAATATATTTTTCTTTTCTGCGAATTTCGAAGCATACACAGGTTGTATTATTAGAATTTGCAAATAATTTTCAAAGAGTCATTTAGTCATCAAACTGCGGTGAAATCATATGTCAGTCTTGCGAAACCTATTCCATGCAAATAAAATATGAAAGATAATCTCAGAATGAGGAAAGAGATCAAGAAATTTCGACGGTAACCCTAGTGGTATTCCCGTTTCATTCTTGCTGAGATGTAACCGCGAACGCAGTTTTTTCCCGTGTAACGAAAAAATGCTGATCTTGGCAAAATGCAAAATAAAATCGCGATCTTATAATTGTAATCGCGTTCCTGGTCAAGTTCGTTATGAGATCCCATTCGATTTGTGTTTTAAGAGTGCGACGGGATCGTGGTAGGATTCTGGCAAGTTCGTGTGTAATTCGCGACAACATCTAGAGAAGATTTTTCCTTTGCCCGATCTTGTTCGGATCCTGTTTCAATCTTGCCACGATCTTTCAGCGCGATCCCGTCAAAACCATTCTCACGTCAAGATTATGAAATTTTCGTTATACGGGAAAAATAGCAAGATTAGGTGCGATCGCGGTAGCGATCTCGAGTTAAGTTTCAAATTCCTTGTCAAAATCGCGGCAAGATGAGGCTGTATTCTTGCCACGAAATGAAGCGGGAATGCTACTAGGGAAGGAATTAGAAATTTTTTTGATACGAGTGTAGCTCAATTCTAACGGGAACTGAACGCCCTTGTCCATTTTGTTTTTATCTAAAGTTTGTCTTTCTCACGGGCGCTTTTTCTTCAACCAAGCGTGAGAAAGACAAAATTTAGGCAGTCACTTAGATTGTATCGACATGAGTGGATAAGTGGACAACGTACTGGAACTTTTTTTAATAAATTTGAACTAATTAAAATTTATTTGATCTGAAATAGTTTATTGAATTAAATCAATTCAAATTAATTTTTAATCTCAAACAAATTAGTTTGAATGATTTGAATATGAGACTTTTTCTAATTAGTTCAAATTAATTAAAAAGATTCGAGTGGGAATGGAGGGAGTCCAAAAAGCTTGATTATTATGGACATGTTACAGGCAATGTAAGAAATTAGAAAATGTATACATATTCTAGAGAATAGGCCCATTTCCTGAGGGTGTAAACATTTTCTGATAGTGTTCAGGGTGATGAGTGGTCTATATACTTTATCAATTTATTATATCCCATGAGAAATTCTAATTTCATTCCCTGAATTCTTGAATTCCTTGAACACTAGCAGGAAGTGTGTGAAGTTACAGCAACTCCATTCTTTTCTAAGACATGATACTTTCTCGTTTTTTCCACCGCTCTATCTCCTTTAATCACTTAGCGCTGGTCGCGGTTTTGCTGTTTTTGAAAAATAACACTGCTCACTCTTTTAACTATGTGGAGTTTTTTAATATAATTGAAGAGAGAAACACGAGTAGATATAGTTTTCCATCATTTCTTTTTTTCTTCTCTAGCTTCTATTAATCATATAATACAAAGATTTTTCATCGTCACTCTTCAACTGACAAGTTTGTTTTCTCTCTTTCTCTCTCTACTCTGCCAACTATCCAATAGATAGACTTTTTCTGCACATTCTAATTTTGAGTGATCATTGAATATGAATGTTGGATAACACTCACACGCACACACACGAATGAGCTTTTCAATATTATAGACAAGCTTATGATAAGATTTGTTGGATTAAGAGAATGGATAGGAAATCATGTTTTGTTCTCTCTCTCTCTCTCTCTCTCTCTCTTTCTCTCTCTTGTCGTATTAAGATAACAATACAGTGAAGGAACCAGTCGTTCTCAATAGAAAATCATTTAGAATACACATCTTTTTATTTGCATGGTAGATGGTAACGAAGGAGAGTTTGGCTCTTTATAGAGATGATGCTCTCGGCCTCAGACACTCTTTTTTACAGTTCCTTTTTGTGAAAGTGGTGGATGTTAACATCAGACAGCAGATAACAGTATTTTGTTTGCGTTTCTATTCCAGTGCATATGGTTGATCCGGATGTTTTGTCAAACACAAGAAGAGACTATCAATGAAAATAGTGGAAAATGTAAGTGAACATATCTGTTGTAATTTCTGATGTATTGAAAGGTGAATTTTGTCTTAGACTGGCTTAGATACAAATATAGCCGAAAAAATCTTAGCACTTGCCAAAAATTTGTTGATACTTGTGCAACTGAATGGAAGCAATTTCACTACGAATCAACAGAACAAAATTGATGAAGGTAAAGTGCCGTGTTTCAGAGTTCCTTCGACGAGTTCCGAGTGTTGACAAACACTGCTCTGATATGCTCATATTCTTTGGAATATTTTTTAGGTGACGAAACGATCAATCCCGTCCGTTTTCACGAGATAATAATAATTTTATGCGTTTTACTTATATGGTTCCTGTCAATACTGATGTTCATTCATCATTCTGAACTATTACGCATTCATCAACGTGATCTACCCTTTAAATCGGCGATGAAACCACCCATGAACCTTAATCACATCCAGATTGTTGATCGCACAAGCGAGATGGTGATACATCCGAAAAGACGTTATTCATATTGCATAAAGTTGATTGGGGAAATGGAAGATGATGGTGAAAATGCAGTACCATCTAAGCGTCATACACAATCGTTCGATTGCGGTAGACGAGAACAAGGTTTACTAAATCCAGAACAAATCCCTCGTATCGTTCGCCGAAGTCTTCTCGATCTACACAAAGCAACGGTCGAAATGGCGCAACCATTCACAAAATACTCGTCATCGTTATCCATAGGCGAAAATCAACGACAACAAAAACCATTGATAATGGGAACATCCAGCCGTTATGTGCAAGAATCACCGGTGTAAAGAGACGGGAGCTTGAGTCTGATCAGCCCTCACCGAGCGAGTCCATTTGTGCCTCAACATTTCTACATGCGGTCATCTGTCTCTTTCGATGAATCTGGATGACTTGATGGCTGAACTGGGCTCCAAAGTTGAAAAAAGTTGCATGTTCTTGGAGAAAATGCATTTTTACTGAATCGTGGTACTGACTCATTACTCATCAGTTTTATCTTGCCTCTGACAAAAAGAATATTCCTAAATTAAAAGAAAAGTCTTAATATGTGTAAAACTGCATGCTCTTTCAGTTTATGCTAAAATAAAGTGCTCAGCTATCGATTAAGCTGTCAAAATTATCGAGATATGGGTCCAAAATACGGAAAAAATCATTGTTTCTCTCATATTTTTGATATTGTGGTTCAAGGAAGATTCAAAGCAAATCAAAAAATTTTCATATCGATTTTACTCGTTGAACTTTGAGAAGTTGACAATGTTCTATTTATTTTGTCTTTTATAGTACTGCGTAGCGCTATGTCTGGTGACAATGGTTTACGATGTAATTCGTCATATAAAGCAGATAGATAATCAAATAATTGAGATCTTTGTTGCAACACGTAACTTCCTCGGTTTCTGAAAGCGGTATGACGGAGTCCACATTTGCTATAGTATTGAAATAGAAATCGATAATTTGCCAGGTAACGATGAGTCCTGATGGGAACTTTTGGATGTTATTTGTTTTAATAACCAGTTATAACAAGTTTTTATTCCAGTCAGTTGAATGAAGAACATACTGGATATAGTCGAGGTTTTTCCACTTAGTGATAAAAAGTAAATAATATTGTAATCTTATGTAAAGAGTATGGATAATGAACGTAAATGTGAACAATACTCGCTCTCAATTACCAGACTAGGTGTATATACTTCTCCGTGATTAACGAAAATGGTGAACACTTAGTTTCGAAATGTCTGCATCAGAATGAATTCATTTTTAGCAATGAAAAGATGCTAAAAATATAATCGTAATACATTTTTAGTGTCTATCCTAGAATATTGATCAGAAAAAAAAGAGCGCTAGCAAAGGACGTGAAAATAAAAGATATCGAAAAATTAGCAGAATGGATTTTGGAAGGAAATAAAGACAGAAAAGATCTCGGAAAAATGTCAATTAAGCATTTCTGCATAAAAGATCTCGGGAAATTTTATTTACTTTTTTATTCTGTAGAAAAGATCTTTGAGAAATAAATTTATCGATTTATGCAGAAAAGATCTCGGAAGAATTAATTAATTAATAAATAGCAAAAGCTCTCACACTCGCGTGTGATATACCTTCCAAACAGCGCAGCCGTTGGCAAAACGATTCTTCAATGCGAAACTTTCTGCAATACTTACAAGAATACGGCACAAATAAAAAAGAAAGAGAACAAGCTCAGTTTCCTAGTCTTGTTGTAATGCTGATATTATTTTTTTGGGACGTTCTCTGCTCCTACGTTTACCAATAAGCTGTGAGACAGGCACTGTATCCAATATCATCATTAAATCAATTGCATGTATACATGAGTATTCTTTGAGACCATATCAACACAAACAAAACCATGGTGGTTTCCTCCTAGACTATTCATTATTCCGAGATCTTTTCTGCATAAATCGATAAATTTAGTTTTCAAAGATCTTTTCCACAGAATAAAAAAGTAAATAAAATTTCTCGAGATCTTTTATGCAGAAATGCTTAACTGACATTTTCCCGAGATCTTTTCTGTCTTTATTTCCTTCCAAAATCCATTCTGCTAATTTTCCGAGATATTTTCTGATTTTATCCGCCAACAGATTAATAAACATGATTACTATTCTAAATTATAATAAATCCGTATATTTTTACGATTAATGAACAAAAATTTCGTTAAAAAAAAGAGTCGTTAAGTGATATGTAAATAACGAGAAGATTTTAATCTCAATAATTATACTATCATCATACCATGTCAATAAAAAGTGTTATTTTGTCTTGTGTCCGTTAAGAATTGAATAAATAGGATTTTTAATATTCATGAGAATATTAGTGACAATGAACAAGAAGAGTCATATTCTCTTCTCTATCATAACACAAATTAGTATCTCAGTAATAATATTTAATTTATTCAGTGTATTTTATAATTATTATTATCATCCATGAAAAGTATCAACTACGAAATACTTTTAAAATATAAAAAAAGTTTGTATAAAATAACTATCGATTATGATTATCAAATATGAGGTAGTTTACAAAATAAATTCACAAAAATGTATCTGACAACTAAAATCTAGTTATAGTGAGCATCCTAAAAACAATCGAAGTAGAAAAAATTCATTAAAAAAAATCAATCTTTATCTGACAACTACAAGCAAAAAAAAAGAGTGAAGATGCATGTATAATCAACAAATAACTTTTAACTGACAAAAATGTTTTTCAGATAAAAGCTGGTGGAAAATAATGCTAAAATATGAGATTGGCCAAGGCGCCAAAACTAAAAATGACTACAAAGGATAGTCATCTATCCTTAAATTTGAGACACTTCCTTCCAAAATGTTTATAGTACTTTCAGTGAAAAATGACTGGTTTATACTGAAAATTTTTAACGCAATCGATTTTGTTTCCTAGCCAAATGAATTTTTAGCTACTTTCTGAAACGTTTAGGGTGCCCCTCTTTTTCGACAGATTCATGGATTCTTAATCTAAAAAACATGGAATGGTCTGTACATGATAATTATTTAAGGATAGAATGTGGCTGGATCTAATGTCTGACGAAAACGCTCAGGAGGTGACCTACATCCAACTAAATAGCCAATAAAACCAATTGCGGCAATAATCAAAAATAACACTATAAATTCAACGAAAAAAAGAAGATAAATATTTATAAAATCATAAAGAAAAAGAGTTTGCACATACTTGATAATATTAGTAAAACAAATCCCCAAAATGGAAAAAAACCATTTAATGTCGAATCTGGATCAAATCGTCCATAGTTATCTCGTTCACCAGACATAAAAGTTCCAGGAACTACAAGAAATTAAAAAATAAAACAAATAGAAAATAAGTCCGATGTACAGGAAAGAAATTTTAAGAATGACTTTGGAAGAGCAGTTTTTATAACAACGTGAATAGCAGTACTGTACTCTCTCTTTCATGTTAAAAGAAATTTTGTCATATTCCAAATTTCAGAAATCTGCTGGTGCAAACCAAAACAATTCTAAGATCTAACTGTTTATTCTACCCATGTACATCTTACTACAAGTAAAATTTTGTTTTATCTCAGAACATAATTATACTTACAAGCAACTACCTGTTGAAAAATAGAAAAAGTAATAATTAGTAGGAATTCCATCGGTGATCGTGAATTAAACATAGTTAGATTTGGTTTCAATTGAATAAAAGAAGAAATAACATGGAAAGAAAACAATAAACAAATCTGGAAGCAGACAAAAATAATACAATGATTCGGTGTAAAGATAAGAATATAGTTGGTTAGACGCTGACCATGTACAAACTTTCAGGTAGTTTATTTATAGAGAGCATTGGAAAAAACTCAACATCAAAACATAAGACAATGTTCGTACAAAAGAAGACAACATGCAAGAATATAATAGCTAAAATTTAGAAAGTTACAAACGTTTTATATAAAGAAAAAGTTAGAAAGCCAAAGTTTTAAAGAAAAATCATCACAATCTAAATCGATAAAATGTTTAGTATTCACATAGAAAGCAAAAAACAACTAAATTAATATACAATTTGATCATTGGTCAGCTACTGAAGTTTTCCAATTTTATAAACAATGAGTACATGTTACACACCAGCACTTTCTCTTTTGGCTAAGTGAAATCACTATTGAACCCATAAACGAGATAAATAGATTAAAGCTTTTCAGCATTTTTTTTTCTACTTTCAATCGTCTATTTTTTGATAGTTAATTTTCTGTTGAAGATATTCTTTTGTTATTTCTTCATCTGTATTTTTATAGAGCAAATCTGGTTCAATTGCATGAGGATATCTCGATTGTAATTCATTAAAGAGACCATGTCGTGTATAATTCCCTTGTGTTTTATCATCCCATAAATTCAATAAATCTTCTGTTATTAAGTCTTGATAATCCGGTAACTGTGGTAATGGCTCGAGTTTCAGTTTTGAATCAACCCCAAGTATTTCCAAGGCTGTGTCTAACCATGGCCAATAGCCAGGTGTATCTTGACAGCATAAACTTACAACGACAGTTTCAAAATTGGCTGCATCTGGATGTTGTTCATGTTTTAATAATTCAGAAATCTCACCCAAAATATGTTTCCAGTTTCTTGAACTTTCTCCTGTAAATGCTCTTTTATATTCTAAACATAGATCTTGTATTCTCGTCATCTAGAAAGAAATAATCGTTGTTGAAGAAATTATCAGTTTTCTTTGTAAAAAAATTTTGCAAGGTAGAACAAGCACTTTTTTATAGTACAACACCTTTCGGCATCCAAAATTATCGATTTAGTCTATCAGTAATGTTCTCGCTTCGTAAAAATTCAAGATGACGGATGAGTAAAGGGATCTAGTCCGACCATGAGCTTTTTTTTGATGATTTTGCTTGTATTTGAATCAAAATTAAGGTATTATTGTCTTTTTAGCAGTATGCTGCAAATGCAGCTAAACTTCCTTCTCCAAGGTTATTCGTAGACAAGACTGAAATAGTAACAGCTAAACGGGTATTATATAGCACATAAGACATAATAGGCATTACGATCAGCGTGCTAATTAATAGAGAGTGAAAAGACAACAGAACAATAACCAGTACCTTACGGCACCATCTAATACCCTAATCAGCACCAGATGATGCTTTTTCCCTCGTGAAAATTTGTCTTTAATACTTGCTGACTTACAATAATCAACTAGGCATACATTTCTGTGTAGTTAAAGAATCAAGCTCTGAATAACAGTGAAAAGAGAAAACTAATACCGCATCTAAACATAATAGGTTTCATTCAGCAAAAGCTTATGTAAAATCTCTTAAACATTCGCCTCTTTCAACAATTTCTCTCATCGTTTGATTTGTAAATTTATTTAACAATATTTAAATATACATAAAATTTGTTCCCGTTCAAACAACACCACTCACACAATAAAAAAAACACATTCCCTCTCTCTCTCCTCACTTCATACACCTCCCGGTTTCCTTTAGTTTTTGATGTTTTTTCTCAACTCAGGCGAAAAAATTGTTTAACAAATAACGTAAAAGAAGAAAATGTCCAATAAACAATGTAAAATATAGTGTTTTTGCACGTGTAGTTCTCTTAGATTCTTTAGTATGTGTGATTTCTGCTGATAAACTGCACTTAAAAATTCGAATAACTTTTATTTAGCATGTGTGCGCAATATTAAATATCAACAACAACAATGTATGAAGAAAACAAAAACGAAAAGGAAAATGAAATAAATAGGTAAATAGAGACAAATGGATAGCAGATCACTCTTACTCTCTGTTTAAAAAAAGTTGATTTTCGATTAAAACTAAATGTGTATATGTATGTGTTGGTTGTTCTCTCTATAAAAAAATGAGAAAGAATGTGATTGATATATATTTAGATCAAAAAGTAAAGAAAAAGAGAAGAAAATGTGGCTTATAGTTGTCCCATATTTTTGGTTTTGTTACTTTTTCTATTTTATTTCATTTCGATTTCATCATTTTGCATTTTTCAATTGATTTGAAAGCCAATCAAGACCTTCATAAAGTCCATCGCCACTTGTTGCACATGTTGCTTGTATGTACCAATTACGATTACGTAATGAATGTAAACCTAATTTATCTGTTATTTCAGCTGCATTCATGGCATTTGGCAAGTCCTAAACAAAAAAAGTATTAGTAAAATGATTTTGATGTTTTAAAAAAAAAATAGTTTGATGTGGAACGAATAAACAACGAACGAAAAGAACATAAACTTACAAGGGAACCTTTTCAGATGTCAACCTGCGATTTCAAGGATCTTTCGCCCATAGATCCTATATAGTGGCCTAGTAAATCCCTAAAAGGATTTGGGCCCCTTTTTCTTCATTCAAAAGTTATGAATTTTTCTATTTTGCCGATACAGTGCATTACATAAAACATTGAAAAATTCATAACTCAGTGAAAATGCGGTATGAAGGACTGAAAATTTTTCCTGTGAGATAGGCCATCTCACTGTATCAGCAAAATAGAAAAATTCATAACTTTTGAATGAAGCAAAAGGGGCCCAAATCCTTTTAGGGTTTTTGCTAGACCACTATATGGGATTTATGGGCAAAACATTGTTAAAATCGGAGGTTGACATCTGAAAAGGTTCCCTCGTTAACGAAATAATTATTCCACTGAAACTGATATTGATAAACTTACTTGTTTATTGGCGAATATTAATAAAACAGCTTCTCTTAATTCATCTTCAGCTAACATACGTTGAAGTTCATCACGCGCTTCACCAACGCGCTCTCGATCATTGCTATCGACAACAAAAATAAGGCCTGAATGGAAAAGTAAAAATTGACTTAGCACGATAGTTTAAGCAGTAGAAAAATATTGTAGAATGTAACTTATTTTCTACTGAAGGTCTGAGATGTTCATGCTCAAAAAATAATTAATCTTTTAGTAATGGAAAGCATCAGAGCCTTGAACTTTTATCCAAATATACAGCACTCCAAAATGTAAGACATACATTACATTCAAATAATAATTCAGAAAAACCTTTTGAAAGTCACCATATCTCGTAATACCGCAAGAAATGCGATAACTAATAAGAATAATTAAATCCTATTAACTATCAGGGAACATGCATCCTTCTAACTGTCATTAAAAAACTAGGCTTAGAAAAAAACGCTTGTATTTTATTCAAAACAAGTTTTGTACTCACCTTGTGTATTTTGAAAATAATGTCTCCACAATGGGCGAATTTTGTCCTAGAACAAAATAACAATTTCAAAAACGAAAAAAATGTTCAGGCATTCTTTCACATTAGTCTGTCGGAGGCTGACACACGGATTAACGAATGTAGTTATCTGCAATATTACATTCCTATCTGTTAGTAATCGCCTTTCCTCTTCAGCTATTCATAGGAAGAACTTATGCTGAGCTTCTCCATAGAAAAATCAAGTGACAGTTACTTACTTGTCCACCAACATCCCATACGGTGAAACTGATATTTTTGTATTCTACAGTTTCAACATTAAAACCTAAAATAGAAGCACGTAAATATTAGTAAAACGAACACAGCAGTTTGAAACTAAGAACTTTTGTTACTGATATAGAATAATCAAACTATATACTATAGATGTGCGTGAGTGTGTGATTATTCTGTACCGAACTGTATCGAACTTTTTTTGTTTCCAAACCAAAAGCATAGATCTGTTTTTAACATGAAGTGATTTTGCACAATAAGCATCTACTTACCAATAGTGGGAATAGTCGTAACGATTTCTCCCAATTTCAATTTATACAGAATGGTAGTCTTACCTAGAAACCAAGAGAATCAAAAGTTAATCATAACCGAGGACCTATCGTCTAAACATTTATACGTACCAGCGGCATCCAGACCAACCATTAATATTCTCATTTCCTTTTTACCAAAAAGGTTTTTAAATAGATTAGCAAATATATTACCCATAATTGATTGCTTAACGTATACGAATGTGTGTGAGAACTAAGAATTCGGAGCTGAGCAAATCTAAAACATAAACGCGACTAATATAGTAAAGTTGTTTGAACGCGTGGCAGCATACCTGGCCACGTAAGCAAAAAAAGTTGAGTAATTACTCAGAAAAAAAAGAAAACTTTGTATGACTGAGTGTCGTTCAACACAGTAGTCCACGAGTGCAAATGACACAATAGTTTAAAATCCAAAAATCACGAAAAAACAAAAAATAATTGTATATTTATCTATTCCTCGTTGTAGAAGGATGATGATGTTACAATAGAGCGATAGTGATCGTATGCTAACCGCCATCAAAGATGTTTTTTGCAGCAGTGTGACATCAATAGGCACGAATAATTCACAGACAGAAATCGGAAAAGATGTATGATTTTAATTTCATAAACTAAAAATGCTTCAAAAGATTCAAAGAAAGACATCATGTTGTTTCAGATGGCTACTTTTCTTTATAAAAGCCAGCGATAGTGCTGCTATATACGTGTCCAAATGTTGTCTGCATTGATCTCACAACTGATTTCTAACAATCTCCATGAAATCGTTGTCATTTAGTGTCGTTAATCAACTCTTATCTAACAACAGCACAAATCTATTCAGTTCATGAAGTTATACACGGCTAAAACCGCCATCTATTGAGAACTGCTGAGTTTTTAGAAAACTAGTACAGAAGTTTTTGAACTAAGAGATATTCAAGACTCTATGATACATGATTGTATTTAATCAAACGTATTTGAAATTTACATTTTGGAGGTTTTTATATCAAAAGATGAGCAGTTATGAATGTGGAAAGAAAGAAAAAGATGAAAATGAAAATATTTTTTCTTTTTTTTCGTCCTTTCGTCATCGATTCGTTGCAAACCGAGAATTTTTTTAAAGATTCATAACTACATAACTATGCTTTTCATATCTATTTGTATTTTAATCGAAATATTTATTGGTGATTATTTAACAATGTGTTAGCACAGAGTTTGTTGCATTGTTTTTCAATTGGTTATTCTTATTGTTATCCTTCTTTTTTGATTATCTACTACAAGAAAGCAAATATACAAAAAATTTGAGAGTTAGAAAAAGAAAAGAAACGTTGATTTTTTCGATTTTTTTCTTTCCGTTGAAAGGTAAATATTCGTGCGTTTTGGCATGCTTTTGTGCTTTCTGTTGATCGTGGGGCAGTGCAGCGAAAAAAATGTTTATCGCAATCTGATTTTTGGGATTCCCAGATAAGCAAAAAAAGGATAAGCCGACTCTATTTCTCCCAAGGTGTACAAGGTAATTCGGTAAAAGAACAACTTTTTTATGTGTTATCAGAAATGCGTTTTTTTTTAAATAAACGAATTTTCAAATGCAGTCGGATCTATTCAGTTTGAAAGGAAATTAGTAATTTTCGTAATGATCAAGCATCAGCTGCAATTCTAGGAAAATACATTTTTATATCAAATGATTTTATATGGTTAGTTGTTACTAGCATTAGTTTCTTTTTCTTTAGAATTTTAGACAGGTTAACTTTATCTTTGTTTATCACCTCTTAATATTTTAGGTAATGAACAATGAGTTTTGATTGCTCTCTGTTAGAAGAGCAACATTTTCAAACATCTGATTCCCTGAAAGATGGCGCAATATCATGTTCGGATTGGAGTCGTTTTGCTATAGCTTCGTCAACCGGTTTTACGCTGCTCACATTTAGCGGTCATTCATCGCGGAAAGTTC